TGTGTCACCTCCCTGTGCAGGTGGGCCCAGAGCGCCGCGTCCCCCTCACTGCGAGGGCGCCCGGCGTCGTGGCCTTTCCTAGCGGCTCAGAGGGGCCGGGTGCGGGGCGCGGCCCACCGCTGCAGGGAAGCGACGAGAGTGCCCGGAGCGAGGGAGCTGCTGGGCGGCCGGGGCCGGGGCCAGGACTCATGGGCGCGGCCGCTGTTCTTCTGCCCGGGACAGGTCACCCCGGAGGAAATCAACTCCCAAATCGCGCTGGAGTACGGCCAGGCCATGACGGTGCGCGTGTGCAAAGCCGACGAGGAAGTGATGCGTAAGTCCTTTTGGCGCTGCCCTTGCTGGGGTTGTTTGGGGGCTGCCCGGCCTCACGTTGGCTGTGCTGGCTTTGTGGGGATGGGTGAGCACCGCGCACATAGGGACACGTGGTGTTGAGACGGGGATGCTAACCTGTGGGCATTGTGCAGGGGCAGCATTTGCCTTCTTGCTCCCGCTGCCGTGGGGCAGTCTTATGTCATGTAGTCCTTTAAATATGCTTGCTCTTGAAGAGCCTGCACAGTGATAATGTTCAGTCCTGTTCCCTACGAGTTCCAGCATGTCTGAGTTCTCTGCAGCATCTGTCGAAAACACTGGAGGACCGCACAGACATGGGGTGGAAGGAGATGCTTTAACTGAAATGCATATTAGGTGGTAAGCCCTTGGCATCAGGACAGGCAGTAAAGCCCTAGTAGTAAAGCCAAGCAGACCTGGGGTCAGATCCATAGATAGGGACCTACTAAATTCACTGCACAAGTGGGGTGCGCTGCTGCTCCTTAATCTTGCAGGTTCCCCACCCCCCCCTTGGTGCAGGGGCCACACTTGCAGCTTGCTCCTGGTTGGTGGTTAGGAAAAAACTGCAGTTTTAAATAGAGGTGCAGTGATATATCGGTACATATCATATCGGCACCAATAAACGGAAAACTGACATTATTGGCAATCGGCTTTTTTGGCTGCTGTGAGCAATAATGTCGCCAATACATGCTGCGTGCACGCACACAGCTGCAGCGCAGCACAGCACGCAGGTGGCCAAGAGCGCAGCCTATCAGCGTGGAGAGTAGCATCCAGCTGGTAAGTCTGTGGAATGGGTTGGGGGGTAGATCAAGGCCCCCACAGTGAAGAAGGGAGTGGGGCTGGGGCAGGTGCTGCACAGCCAGGACAAGGCACAAGACAGCCATAAGCGGCTTGTCTGGATGGTGTACGGGGAGGCACATTCTGCTGTTGCATGCACCCCCAAGGGAGGGATGTCTCCTAGATCTGTGCACAGAGCAAGGGCGAGCTGCTGCTGTGCACTTGGGCCAGGAGCAGTGCCAGGCTCTGCCTGATGGGTGGGGCTTGGGCCTGGGCTGCTCTCAGGATGGGTGGTGCTGGGAGGGGGGAGCTACAGCCATCCCAAAATTTGCCATAGCCCCCTGTAACCTCAGCCTGGCCCTCACCACTGGAAAGAGCCTGGTGCCACACTATGCACACGTCCAGGAGGCACGTGCCCCGCTATGCCTCCTCCAGGGGTGCACGCAGTGTTTGCCCTTGTCCTTGCCCCAATCACACTCCATCCCTCACCATAGGGGCCTTGTTTTGCCCCTTCCCCACAACAGACTTACCAGCCTGATGCTGCTCTCTGAGCTGTTGGGCTGCATATTGGCAATCGGATCAGTGTCAGCCAATATGGCTTGTTGCTAATTGGCCATCAGTATCGGCCCAAAAAAATCTTTATCAGTGCACCCCTAGTTGGCACCATTTTTGCCTCCTGCCGCTGACTGGCTGAGGGGCCCCAGTGGCCCTGATGCTTGTTGCTGGCTGGCGGGGAGGCAAAAACCACACTATAATTAAAACCATGGTTTTCATTTCCTACCGATTAGGAGGGAGCAGTGTGCTCCCTATGCCAATCAATAACTGCGGGGAGGGGCACACGAGGAAGCATGAAAGATTAAAGGATCTGCCATGTACTCCACTTATGCCATGAATTTGGTAGGTCCTTATTGATAGAGAATAGCGATTAATTTCTGGTTCCCACAGCTAGTCTTTTGATATTGGGCTTAATGCCTACCTTGTTGTCACAATATGGTGACATCTTCTAGCAAGTCGAGAAGAAATTACATATGTGATCCAAGGTGGGCAGTTGCAGTTTGGTGCATTGAGTGGACTGAAATGGCTGGGGCACAATTTCACGAACCTCAGTCCAGCACCCTGAAGTACTTAGGAGCCAGAGGAGTAGGTGTGTAATTGGGTGAAGTACCTGATTAATACCCTACCTTGGTGGCAGGCAGAAATACAGCTTACTGACAGTGTTCTGTAATGATTTCTCACTTGGTCCTTCACCTCAGACCTGCCTCTATCAAACATACGAGGTTGGAGCTTAAAGGCTGTAAAGCAGAGGTGGGCAATTATTTCGGGCGGAGGGCCGCTTACCCAGTTTTGGCAAGCTGTCGAGGGCTGCATGGGTAGCCCCGTCCTTTGACAGGTGCCCTGCCCCCTGGTCACCATCTTGGGAACAGTGTCCCAATGTCTTGGGACTGATGTCCCAGGGCCAGCACCGGTGGGGCCCAGAACAGGGTGCAGGCTGGCAGGGGTCTGTGGAGCTGGGCTGGGCTGCACCAGCAGGAAGGGGGGGGAGCTGGCCCGGCTCCATAGAGCCCCTGCCAGCCGGAACCCTATACCCCTGCTCTGGGCCTTGCTGGGACACCGGTGTGAGCCCTGTGTTCCTGCGCCCACTCACTTCCAGTGCCCCCCCCAGCCCCACGGTACAGGCTCGGGGGAGCGCACAGCCCTGAACCCCTGCTCGCCAGCAAGGTAGGAGCTGGTGCGGAGCGCAGGATAGAGCCACCCCTTGTCTGCCCCGTGGTCCACACTCCCTGCTGCAGCCATTCACAGATCGCGCAGGGCTGTCCTGAGCAGGCACAGGCAGCCCCAGGCGGGTGGCAAGCAGCTGCAGTGCAGGGGGTGGGCGAGGGGCCGCTTTTCCCGTGCTCTGGACCAGCTTGTAACCCGTCCCCACTGCCAGCCCCGTGTGGGGCTCTGTGCCTGCTCAGGACAGCCCTGTGCATGCTGTGAGTGGCTGCAGTAGTGAGCACTGGCCATGGGGTGGGGGAGGGGCCGCTTTTCCCCGCGTTCTGCACCAGCTCCTTCCCTGCCACCCTCCCTCCCTACCTTTACCTGAGCTTCCCCCCCTGTTGGGGCTTCCAGCTGGGGGGCCGGGGCTGGAGGGGCCCTGCTGTTGTAGGATCCTACTGAGAATTCCCCTGGGTCCTACTACCCCTTGTTTCTGTCATTTTTGATGGGAACCAAGGACAGATGCATTTTAATTTTCTACATTTCTTTAGGGGCCCTGTGGGCCAGATAAAGTCCACAGGCCATATTTTGCCCACCCCTGCTATAAAGCAACCTTCTTTGTGAAGACTGACCCAGACTGGAAGACTTAGCCATGTTCATTCCTCAGCTATTCAGTTGGGTTGGTGCCCTCTAAGTTCCATCTTCGGGCTGGGTTCTGGAGTGGTTGTGGCATAAAATAGCTCCTATTATAAAGTGCAGCTTCTAGCAGGTAAGGGTAGGGCCTGGAGCTCTGCCTCCTTTCAGAGCATATCTCCTGGTGTTATTAATTGCAAGTCTTCTCCCCTTCAGCTGTAGTAGTGGTACAGAATGCCAGTGTCCAGGACCTGAAGAAAGCCATCCAGCGGTATGTGCAGCTGAAACAGGAGCGGGAAGGAGGTATACAGCATGTTAGCTGGTAAGCTCTCAAAGAAAGGCAAGGTGTGCTGTGGACAGTCTGAACTTCAGCACTACCCTCTTCTTCTGCAGTAAGGGCTGCATATAGCAATCACCATTCTATTTTCTTTTTGACTCTCAAATTTTGAGATTTTTCTGTTTTATAGTTTTGCTGGTGTTTGATCAAACTGAAAGAATTGCCTGCTGATGACTAGCTAGTAAAGTAAAGTATTTTCAGGGGCTTAGGAAAAGCCTGTGCAAGATTCATTTGAGACAGGCTGAACGTCCAACTGCTTGGTCACTGCAATTTGAGATGAGCACCACCACCATGAAAAGACAAACTGCACAAACCAGGAATTCAGTGGTTACCTGACCTGGCTGATCAGAAAGCTTCAGTTGTACTCAGAGTCATATCTCTTGCTTGTCCCTTTTCTGCTCCTACTTTTTAATTAATGTGGTTAACTGCTGTTCCTTTTGTCCTTTAACTCACAGAATTCTGATTTTGCAGGAAATATGTGTGGCGAACATATCACCTAACCTTTGCTGGAGAGAAACTGACAGACGACCGAAAGAAGCTGAGAGAGTAAGTGGTCAGAATTCTCCTCAGTTTTATGAGCCTGCTTGGACTATAAAGAAACCTGGTGTGATCTGCATTGCAAAATAATGTGGCTAAATGAGTGTACAGATAAAAGGAAGGATTTTTTTTGGATGATATCTATTCTCTTTTCCCGTGCCACTGGAAGGGATGGGAACTCCTAGCTGCTTTTAAGATATAGCTCAGTACATTTCTGAAAGTGCCTGCAACTGCAGGGAACTGGATTTGATCAAATCCAGTTAGGGGGAGGAAAACCTGGTCTGACAGTCAATCATAGGATGAATGAGTTTGAAATGGAATTCAGCAATGAATAAAAGGCAAATATGACCCTAGAGTGGAACAGGGTATTTCTGGTAGAGATAGGAAAGCATTAATGCACTGGTGAAGCTATCCGGGCTCATGGGGCCAAAAGCTTGCAAAGAAAAATAATAATTTTTTTGCTATTTTCTAGTCGGTCTAATCACCAAGAGTTTTGTATTCCTCTGTCTCAGGCGAACATGGCTACAAAACAGATCCTGAAACATGACAGATACTGTATTTTAGCCATTTTTGGAATTATAAACTTCACTGATAAACAAAAAAGATTTCTACATCTCCCTGCCTTTCTGACACCACCAGGGAAGAGAAACTGCCTTATCTGCACAAAGAGCAACTCGCACAAAGGGACTCTCATGGACCCAGAGGAACATACATCCACCTTCAGCTTCCTCTGTGCAAAATGAAGTTTATTATTTATCTAAGGGAACTTTTACAATCTCCGATTTCTCCTCAGGCTGAAGAAGGGTATGTGCGCCCAAAAGGTTGCAAAGAATATAACACTTAGTTGGTCTAGTAAAAAGGTATCACCTCTGAACCAAGAGTTTTGGAGCTTTCTACTCCTTTTTATCTCAGACCAATATGGCTACAAAACAGATCCGTGGACAATTTTAGTCACCCATATATATTCAAGAAAAACAACAACTGGAATAGATGCAAAAAGGGCTCTTGCAATGACTGGAGAATAGAGAGCCTAGCATGCAGGAGAAGACTAGGGGAGCCTGGCTTGTTCGGGCTCACAAAATAAATGCTGAGTGAAAGTGTGACTGCCCCCTATAAATTCATAGCATCAGGAAAGGAAAAGATGTATTTGAACTGAAGGACAACCTTGGCACAAAAAAAGGTGAACATAAATTGATCACAAATACATTTGGCCTGGAAACTAGAGGACAATTCTTCATCTGTGGAGCATTGAAGTCCTGGAGTAGCTTTCTAGCAGAGCAGAGATACAAAAAACATAACAAAAACTAGCTGCTTTTAAGATATAGCTCAATACATTTCTGAAAGTGCCTGCAACTGCAGGGAACTGGATTTGATCAAATCCAGTTCCCTGCAGTTGCAGGCACTTTCAGAAATGTATTGAGCTATATCTTAAAAGCAGCTAGTTTTTGTTATGTTTTTTGTATCTCTGCTCTGCTAGAAAGCTACTCCAGGACTTCAATGCTCCACAGATGAAGAATTGTCCTCTAGTTTCCAGGCCAAATGTATTTGTGATCAATTTATGTTCACCTTTTTTTGTGCCAAGGTTGTCCTTCAGTTCAAATACATCTTTTCCTTTCCTGATGCTATGAATTTATAGGGGGCAGTCACACTTTCACTCAGCATTTATTTTGTGAGCCCGAACAAGCCAGGCTCCCCTAGTCTTCTCCTGCATGCTAGGCTCTCTATTCTCCAGTCATTGCAAGAGCCCTTTTTGCATCTATTCCAGTTGTTGTTTTTCTTGAATATATATGGGTGACTAAAATTGTCCACGGATCTGTTTTGTAGCCATATTGGTCTGAGATAAAAAGGAGTAGAAAGCTCCAAAACTCTTGGTTCAGAGGTGATACCTTTTTACTAGACCAACTAAGTGTTATATTCTTTGCAACCTTTTGGGCGCACATACCCTTCTTCAGCCTGAGGAGAAATCGGAGATTGTAAAAGTTCCCTTAGATAAATAATAAACTTCATTTTGCACAGAGGAAGCTGAAGGTGGATGTATGTTCCTCTGGGTCCATGAGAGTCCCTTTGTGCGAGTTGCTCTTTGTGCAGATAAGGCAGTTTCTCTTCCCTGGTGGTGTCAGAAAGGCAGGGAGATGTAGAAATCTTTTTTGTTTATCAGTGAAGTTTATAATTCCAAAAATGGCTAAAATACAGTATCTGTCATGTTTCAGGATCTGTTTTGTAGCCATGTTCGCCTGAGACAGAGGAATACAAAACTCTTGGTGATTAGACCGACTAGAAAATAGCAAAAAAATTATTATTTTTCTTTGCAAGCTTTTGGCCCCATGAGCCCGGATAGCTTCACCAGTGCATTAATGCTTTCCTATCTCTACCAGAAATACCCTGTTCCACTCTAGGGTCATATTTGCCTTTTATTCATTGCTGAATTCCATTTCAAACTCATTCATCCTATGATTGACTGTCAGACCAGGTTTTCCTCCCCCTTGCTTTTTTCCAAGTGATGAGCTCCAAACTTATAGGAGAAATTGTAATAGTCCCTACCCCTGCATTTTGTACTACTAAATTTTCCCTCTTTTCCCCCCCCCCGCCCCCCCTTCCTCTCTCTCTCACGCACACTCTCCACCCCTTCTGCTCTTGTGTTGTTCCCTTGTCTCTCGCACCGCTCCCTTGTCCTGCCCACCCCTGCCCTTTCTCTCTCGCGCGCCCGCCTACCCCTGCCCTTTCTCTCTCAGGTATGGGATCAGAAATCGGGATGAAGTTTGCTTCATAAAGAAGCTTCGAAAGTGACCTGTGAGGTAAGCCTTAGGTCTGGATCATCTTCAAATCTAATGCTAAAGCTCTCAAACTCCTAGTGTTTGAAACTGCAACTTGGTGCTACTGTGTCCCATGTATATTCACACCTTTAGTTCCATTATTTTTCCAGGCCTCCGTGCAGGCAACCCCCGCTTAATGCGGTTTCAGTTGGCACTATTTCACTATAGTGCTCATTTAGAATTGATACCCAATTCCACTGAGTGCTCAGCCAGTTTCACTATAGCACTCAGTGGAATCAGAGTTTCAGCAGGCAGGGAGAAGCAGTAGTGTCGGCAGCGAGTGAGTGGCAGCGAGCGGGTGGACAGGCATGAAGGCCCAGGGCGGGACAGCAGAAGCACGGGCCCAGGCTGGCACATGGTGCCAGAGCGGGTATGGGGGTGGAGATAAGTGGCTGCAAAAGAGGGGAGGAGCGTGGGGCCCAAGCCAGTGCTCAAGCCAGCAGGGTCCTGCACCCAGGGTGGGAGGCAGGAGCATGGGGCCTGCGCTAGTGTGTGGGGCTTGTGCCAGGGCCAGTGGAAGCCCACACCCAGAGCAGGGCGGCAGGAGCACCAATGCCTGCAGGCGGGG